CGGCGGCGGACCCGATCCGGAGACATGATGCGCGGCTGCTTCTTCTCAGAGCCTGCTGCGCAAAATGGCGGCGAGCTCAACGGCCTCGCCGCCGCCTTTGTCCGCCCCTTATATACCTTCCCCGCCGGAAACCGCCCCCGAGCGCACGGCAACCAATCAGCAGGCTCGCTCGTGGAGACGGATACAGGCAGCGAGCAATCGCGTGCCCCTACTCTGCCGCCTCTGTGATCCCATTGGTGGGCGCGGTCTCGCAAGGTGATTGGCCCGTTTGACTGCCGGATACAGCACAGGATGATCCGTTAAGCTCCCGCGCGGGGATTGGGCGCGTTTTGCCCGGTGGAGGGGGCGGAGTCGCCGATTGATAGGCTTCGCGATTGGCTGGGGCGCCTGTCAGTCAAGTGTTGGCCCGGCCCCTGCAGTGGAGCAGGCTGCGGTTCGGACAGTGCGTCTCCGTAGCCTGCTTCGGCCACGTGGCCGTGCGGCACCCTGGGGATCACCGCGCTCAGCACCCTGCTCCCTGGGTGTTTGCGTAGATGTGATCTCATTTATTAGCGGGGATCCTGGTTTTCCCTGATTTAAAAAAAAAAATCCCCAATTTTTGGTTAAAAAAAAGTAACCTCAAATCCACATTTTCCCATGATCAAAATGAAACACCAGTATATACGTCTCTATATATTAGTGGTGTTTCATTTAAACCCACATACAAATGTGGATTTGGGGATTTTTTTTTAAATCAGAAAAAAACAGGATCCCTGTTTATTAGAGCCACTAAATAGTTGGAAAAATTGTTCTTTGCATGTTTTTGAGCACAACCCCCCTTCTCCAGACGTAGGAGGGTCTGCAGGTGTTTTGTGTCGATAGTATCTCAGGTTTGAGCATGTTGGCCAAATCTTTTTGTCCCAGGACAGACGCAGAAAAAGCTCAGAGGCTGCAGATATCGGTGCCATAGCAGAAGCTGAGTACAGGAAATCCATGCAGATAAATGGAAAATAAAAAAAAGTCATCAGCATTTAGGAATTTTTCCCGTTACACCAATTTATGTCCGACACTGGTGCTGTTGAAAGTTGTTGGTTTGAGTACCGTCAAAAATGAGGTTCGCTCTTTATTTGCTGAACATCTGGTGGGCTGAAACACAGCTCAGATGTTGGTTATTCATACGGCTACTCCTAGCTTAACGTTGTGGTGACGTTCTTGAAAAACGCAACTTTAAGCGAAACAACGTTAAGCAAATCCAATTAGGTCACAGTAATTAATACTTTCGTCCTTCCCGGGCAAAGACGAGCGCATCCAGCAGGGAGAGGGGAGGGAAGAAGAGAGAAAAGTGGGGAAGAAAAAAGTTAGGAGAAAAGAGAAAAAAGGGAAAGGGAAGAGAACGAAGGGAGGTGGAGGCTGTCATGTGAGTACGTAGGTGACTTATAAGTCCGATCTTCGCTTTGAACAAACTGCTGCAGCAGGGGCAGGAGAGTGATGAGGACTGGATACGGGAGGTTTTAATTTTCCTGGCCGCTCGTTTCTTCGTTGCTTTTGCCGTGCGTTGCTGTTCAAAGGCCAATGCTCCGTTCTGGATTTGGGACCTCCAGGATGGATGGTCACGAGCTATTTGCTCCCACGACTCTGGGTCGATACCATGACTCTTTAGGGACACCTTTAGGGTGTCCTTGTCCTGCTTCTTTGGTGCTCTGCAAAAGCGTACTCCATTTGACAGTTCGCCATAGAAGACTTTCTTTGGCAGGCGAGTGTCAGGCCTTCTTGAGAGGTGAAGCTTCGGGTGGTGATTTGATTCAGAGGAGATTCGGCCCGATTCGGTGGCCGAATCTCCGAATCCGAATCAAACCAGGAGACCAATTTAAAGGTCCGAACCAATTAAAAGATGCAAAGATTTGGAGAGCTTTGACAATTCAGGCAGTCCCCAGTGGCTGCAGCAGGGAGCTGCGGCCGACTCCAAGTTGGTAAGTACTAGGGGTGGGGGAGAGGGGGCTGGGGGAGGGGACCATGG